ACACTGCTAAATTAGGGAGGGCTAGCGCAGATAACCCTCGTGTAGTTTTGCGCGAAATTAAAAACAAACAATCAATCGATCAGGTTCATGGCAGTATTTCAAATGCATGTTCATATTATTAACGTGGAAAGTTATCAGACCTGATAGTTGTTTTTATCGTACTACATTCAGGTAGTTCTGACAAGAGAACTTATTACCGCCACCTCGGGGAAAATAAAATATATAATGTTGTGACAACAGAAAGTGTCATTGCTGTATAATAAGGTGATGAAACCAAATGAAATTATTTGTGTAACAAGATCAGAGCAGTTGTACAGTTAGAAAAATTTAACTTAACAACAAACTTAGCACGTGATCAGACTTTCGTGAGCTAGCAAGTCGAGATAGCGGATATATGGAGAATGAAATGCAGTATGCGCATAATTTTTCGAAATAAGTTTGAGTTACATCATCAGGTGATAGCAGTTTTCACAATCCCTGTAACACGCACATTCTATTGTAAATAGAGCAAGGAAACTTTAGAGCTGACTCAGCTGATAAATACAAATTAAAACACCTTTCGCTGGTGATTCCAACAGTAGTTGATATTACAATAAAATATGCCAAACACTGAAAATGTATGGCTTTTATGATAGACAGTCTTGAATGTATGAATTGATTGCGGTTTTGTCATAGAAACATCTATTTAAATTTATATTTTTGTGAGTTACATCCCAACAGTAGTTGATATTACTGTAAAATATTCCAAATACTGAAAATGTGAGTATGTTTTTTCATGATAAATAGTCTTAAGTGTATGAATTGATTGCGGTTTTGTGATAGAAACATCTACTTAAGGTTTATATTTTTGTGAGTTACATCCCAACAGTAGTTGATATTACTGTAAAATATTCCAAATACTGAAAATGTGAGTATGTTTTTTCATGATAAATAGTCTTAAGTGTATGAATTGATTGCGGTTTTGTGATAGAAACATCTACTTAAAGTTTATATTTTGTGACTTTAAAAGAATTAAGTATACATAGTTAAAAATAGAAATCCTTTAAAATTAAAAGAGTAGGTATAATTATTTTTTATGACACATGATTATTTCACGAACATTGATTTACAGTTAAGATGTGAATGGGTACAAGAAATATTAAAACAGCTAGAAACGGAGAATGATGAAAGGCGTAACAGTTTGACAAATTGCCTAGCCTTCATCGGCTACTTAGCCAGGGTTTTTACTTACCCTGTAACAATCATTTTATCTAGTAAGAGTTATAATGATGTCATATACATATATGATTCATACGCATTATTTAAATTGTTCCTACCTAGAAACCATTATTTCTGTGATAATTCTATATATTTTTTTATTCCTCATGAGAGGAATCTAATCCTGATCTATTACCTGACAAACACTGCTCTGCTAATTGCGTTAAAGAGTTAACCGACAGATTACTGCAAATACACATGCAGGAATTATATTTTGAACTTTTAAAGACTAGTTCGACTTGAAATTTATTCGTATTATACTTGTAAGGCGGAAAGAAATGTGTACGATACTTTGAATTAAATAAGCGTTTCTTTCAGTTCAGCTTAATAGGAACAAGAAATAGTTACTTGTGCATAAGACGTAGTAGTAGTAGTTTTCATGCTCTTGCTCCCTTTCGTATTCCTTATCACAGTGTTATTTGTAACCGTTTTTCTATTGACCACATAATTTACGTTACACTGATGTTCATGTTACAAAACCACAATGTATGAAACATTAGTTTTTTTTTATTTTAGAAGTACCTCTGGTTACAAACAATTAAATATTTTTCGGGAAGATTGCAGTGAATCAGTATATTTTTAGATTATCTCAAAATTCCGATTGTTTGAGCAACTGCGAATGTTGGTAAGTAAAATGATGACACGCATGTAATGTTTCTTGACAAGCTACTTGTATCAATAAAGTCCAATTCTAATGGAAAAGGTTTAGACGTATACGAGTCTAATTTCCCTTGTGATGGAGACAGCCACACAAACTTTATTATCCTTATGGCACAGATAAGAGTTTGTGGTTAGATGGTTTTCCTCAGTATTTTAGTTACTATTTCTACTTTTGAGTTGATGTAAAACAAAACAAAATATGGATGATAATACCATAGAACGTTGGCTTGACAAAATGGTACGACTGTAATCTAAGTTCATTTATCATCGTCAGAGGAAATCATTGCCATCTTGGGCAAAATAGCGATTACAACTAGTAAAGTAGGTTATCATTGATTTATTAGATATGTTCGTGTTACTTGAACTTCTGTCGGAAATGATTTAATGATTGTAGAAGAAGTGCTAAGCTATATTTTCTTGGAAACTCTATTAGTTCATGACAACTCTTTAATGTTGCCAGTTTTAAATATAATGTTATTAAGTGAAGAGATTTGGCAAGTCGTTAATTGATTAAATGATAGAGGAGAAAAATATTAACATCTTAATAAACATAATTTATGAGCATTACAATTGATACCGT